TCGTGGTCCTGCTCCTGATGGTATGTGTGAGCTGTTTGTGCAGAAGTTGATGTTTGCTGAAATAAGGATGATGTTGTTCGTGGTCCTGCTCCTGATGGTATGTGTGAGCTGTTTGTGCAGAAGTTGATGTTTGCTGAAATAAGGATGATGTTGTTCGTGGTCCTGCTCCTGATGGTATGTGTGAGCTGTTTGTGCAGAAGTTGATGTTTGCTGAAATAAGGATGATGTTGTTCGTGGTCCTGCTCCTGATGGTATGTGTGAGCTGTTTGTGCAGAAGTTGATGTTTGCTGAAATAAGGATGATGTTGTTCGTGGTCCTGCTCCTGATGGTATGTGTGAGCTGTTTGTGCAGAAGTTGATGTTTGCTGAAATAAGGATGATGTTGTTCGTGGTCCTGCTCCAGATGGTATGTGGTTGCTGCTGATGTTTGTGCAGAAGTTGATGTTTGCTGAAATAAGGATGATGTTGTTCGTGGTCCTGCTCCTGATGGTATGTGTGAGCTGTTTGTGCAGAAGTTGATGTTTGCTGAAATAAGGATGATGTTGTTCGTGGTCCTGCTCCTGATGGTATGTGGTTGCTGCTGATGTTTGTGCAGAAGTTGATGTTTGCTGAAATAAGGATGATGTTGTTCGTGGTCCTGCTCCTGATGGTATGTGTGAGCTGTTTGTGCAGAAGTTGATGTTTGCTGAAATAAGGATGATGTTGTTCGTGGTCCTGCTCCTGATGGTATGTGTGAGCTGTTTGTGCAGAAGTTGATGTTTGCTGAAATAAGGATGATGTTGTTCGTGGTCCTGCTCCTGATGGATGTGTGAGCTGTTTGTGCAGAAGTTGATGTTTGCTGAAATAAGGATGATGTTGTTCGTGGTCCTGCTCCATATGGTATGTGTGAGCTGTTTGTGCAGAAGTTGATGTTTGCTGAAATAAGGATGATGTTGTTCGTGGTCCTGCTCCTGATGGTATGTGTGCTGAGCTGTTTGTGCAGAAGTTGATGTTTGCTGAAATAAGGATGATGTTGTTCGTGGTCCTGCTCCTGATGGTATGTGTGAGCTGATGTTTGTGCAGAAGTTGATGTTTGCTGAAATAAGGATGATGTTGTTCGTGGTCCTGCTCCTGATGGTATGTGTGAGCTGTTTGTGCAGAAGTTGATGTTTGCTGAAATAAGGATGATGTTGTTCGTGGTCCTGCTCCTGATGGTATGTGCAGAGCTGTTTGTGCAGAAGTTGATGTTTGCTGAAATAAGGATGATGTTGTTCGTGGTCCTGCTCCTGATGGTATGTGGTCCTGCAGATGGTTGTGTGCAGAAGTTTTGCATGTTGATGCTGAAATAAGGATGATGTTGTTCGTGGTCCTGCTCCTGATGGTATGTGTGAGATGTTTGTGCAGAAGCTGATGTTTGCTGAAATAAGGATGATGTTGTTCGTGGTCCTGCTCCAGATGGTATGTGTGAGATGTTTGTGCAGAAGCTTATGTTTGCTGAAATAAGGGATGATGTTGTTCGTGGTCCTGCTCTCGATACTGATGGTTTGTGCTGATGTTGTTTGTGCATGGTGGTCATTTGATGTTTGCGGTGTTCATGAAATAAGTGTTGATGGGTTTTTCATGCTGTGTGTAGTAATTCCGTTCTGATGTTTGTATTGTTGTTGTTGTTGGCGGTGCTGCTTATGTTTTTAGGTGCTGTTGATATGGTTTCCAGATGATCGTGTTGGTGCTGTGAAGCAGTTTATTTGATATAATATATTTTAGTTAATGTCATTCTGCCATGAAATCTACCTATCATCTGGCTGTCAGATTTACACACGTTTAAAGTGGTAGTAAAACGAACGCTGAAGTCTGTATTTACATGTGTTTCTTAGGTGTGTACATCTGGCTATTGTTTCCATGTGTTTTCTAGCATGTGTAACAAACGTAAATATTGTGAATATAGGACATGGATTTCAATACCCTTGGAATCTCGTATGACCAGGGTTATGTTTGTCATATATTTAATAACGCGGAAATAATTGGTAATGGGTAAATCGAGTGGTACAGCATTGGCACTAATTTAACATGTATTTCAATGGGTTGGGAATAATACAGTCACATCTGGTTCGTTTACTCGTACGACCCCACCATAATGTACTTATGGCTGAAATATTGCCGAGGTGACGTTAAATTTTAACTCACTCACTCACCCATAATGTACTTTCTCACATACATGCGTTTCGGCGGTTTTATGTAGTTTTACGTCAAGAGCGTTAAATTGATCTATCCTAACTTTTCTTTTGTCTAAATGTTAGCATCTCCCCGTCCAATGGTGTATGCATATAGATTCAGAGTGAAAAAAAGTCTCCACGAGGTTGTATGGCCAAAAGGATGATTTCAACTTCCCCGTAGTCAGCTTCCCTTTCATGTGGAGCAATATTCCAACAGCGCCAGCCTTTGGTGTTTACGTGTCACACTCACCTTGTCTTCGAACACCTGGTATTATCACTATTTGAAAGAGATTAATAAACACATGCTCTGTCATCGTATCACTTGGTGACAATCACTGGATTGTTTGGTGCAAACTCGTTTTCCTTACAAACAACATCGTACAGCTTCTGGAACAAACACATACTCATGAAAGCAAGGAATTCCACAGCTATTTTAAGCGTGCCAAGGTTGTTGGACACAATCTGAAATTTGAGGTTGATTTTAATGATGGCAATGTACTGCTGGACGATACAGCGATAGGAGTAAACCAGGTGAAGTTATTCACCAAGTCTGCTCAGAGTTATTCTTTTGTGCAGACGCTTTCTGAGAAGCCATTACATCGTGTGTACATGCAGTGTGTGGAACAGAACAGCAATCCCACCGACTCCTTCGCCTGGATGAAGTCGGCTGGTCTCAAATGTGAAACTGAGGGCTTCTTTTTGCTGCTCAGGACCAGTCACGTCCCACTCGAAATAGCCTAGATGTGATTCTAAAAGAAAATATTTCTATGAAATGTCGATTATGCAATGAATTTACAGAGACTGTCCAACACCTTGTCAGTGCATGAGTGAGTGAGTTAATATTTATCGTCACATCGGCAATATTTCAGCCATATCGTGACGAGAACATTTATAATTAATTATATTATAGATCAATAAAGTAGGACATTAAAAAAACCTGTTGTCGAAGAACAGTGAGTGAGTGAGTGAGTTAAAATTTAACGTCACATCGGCAATATTTCAGCCATATCGTGACGAGAACATTTCACATTGAAATAGAATATAGATAGATATTATAAAAAACCCGCCGACGAAGGACAGTAAAAATACTAGATAATCACAGATATGAATATAAAACTAGCGAACAAAGCTAAAACATTCCAGTTAAAGAAGACAATACACTGTAAAAATGGGCTATAGATCGCCAACAACTGAAGGTAGATCACCATACTAGGGACCATGGGGACTTACATTACTTTTGTTACCTGCATGGACCCTAGTTGGATTGTCAGTGCATGCCCCTCCTTGGCACAAACAGCATATCTAAAAAGACATGATGGCATGGCTCGTTGCTTTTATTACCGTCTTCCTCACCGTCTTCCTTTGACACCGAGGTCCATCCATGGTACGACCCATGTCCAGGGCGTCATGGAAAATGATGCTTTCAAACTTCTGTGGAATAGGCCCATATACAGCCTCAGAAGAATTCCAGCCAACAAACCTGATCTTGTCCTTTTTGATAAAGCCAATGAATTTATTTATATCATTGAATTTTTCTGTCCCTTTTGACAGCAATGTGATCGGGAAGATTCAGGAAAAGCATGATAAATATGCTGACCTCGCCTTTGAAATGTCTCGCTTGCATCCAAAGTACACTGTCGTCAGGCTCCCCTTTGTTCTCGGTGCCCTTGGTTTGGTACCTCCTGATCAGGAGAATGTCCCGGGTTCTCCACCGGGGGCACAGCCCTTCTGACACTCTGGGTAATGCAGAAGGCTGCAGTGTTGGGAAGCCTTCATATTCTCTGGAAAGTTCTTGGTGGGTTCGACTAGGCAGTGTTTCCTGGGAGAAGTCCCATTCACTGTCTGGGCTGCGTGTAGAGGGGGCGAGGGCCCTGAGCTGATGATGAGCCTTAGCAGCCTGACTGTGCCAGGATCACCCGAAACCCTCTCTGCTGCATTTTAATCTTTAATCTAATGATATTGGCATGACATTTGGACACGACAAATGTAATACTCTTCATTTGAAACGTGGCAAGGTAACTAATGATGGATCGGTCAAGTTACAAGGGGGAGGAGTTATTGAGCATCTTGTGGAAGATCAGGCCTACACCTACCTTGGAATGCAAGTTCGAGACAAGCTCCAGAATGCCCAGATTCAAGACAAACTTCGGGCCGAGTATAAATCTCGCTTAAAGAAAATCTGGAGCTCAGGGCTAAATGTCGAAACAAAGTCAAAGCCCCCAATACTTTTGCTGTGCCAGTCCTCTCCTATTCCTTTGGAGTAGTAGATTGGACAAAACAAGATATCCAGAGTCTTGACCGCCTGACCAGAAGGATCATGTCTGATAACAGAGCCCACCATCCTCGTTCCTCTCTTAATCATTTATATATGCCAGTCAATTCTGGATGTCGGGGTTTGATTAATGTGGAGGCTCTTCATGATAGAATTTTATTGTGTACTTTTGCACATATCTATTAATCGGATGATCCTCTGGTGATGCATGTGAAGACTCATGATGAAAGCAAGGAATTCCACAGCTTTTTTAAGCGTGCCAAGGTTGTTGGACACAATCTGAAATTTGAGGTTGATTTTAATGATGGCAATGTACTGCTGGACAGTACTGCGATAGGAGTAAACCAGGAGAGAGAGAGACAGACACAGAGAGACAAACACAGAGAGAGAGAAGAGAGAGAGAGAGAGAGAGAGAGAGAGAGAGAGAGAGAGAGAGAGAGAGAGAGAGAGTGAGAGAGAGACACACACACACACACACATACAATGAAAAGCTCGCAATTGGGAAATAGTTGCTATCAGTCCATACGTTCTTTGTTTCAGGTTCCAGTTCAGGAATTGGAGCAGGAATTGCAGCAGTGTTTGCGAGAGAAGGCGCCAAACTCTCATTGACTGGCAGAAACCAGAAGGGTTTGGAGGGAGTGGTTAAGAATTGCAAAGCGGAAGCGTCTAATGTAAATAGAAATCAATAGAGAACCATTGAGCTGCTAGACAAGGCCACATGCATTTTAATTTATTTAATTCTATGCCCATCCATTCATAAACACATGGTCCGTGGTGTCACAGGCGTCATGACTGATTGCGTGTCCATTTGAGTCGTGTCCTTCAGGTGTGCCTTGGCCGAGTACAACGATAAACTGGTTCGTTTCAAAATGTGTTGCAAAGTTAAGGCCTCAACATATTGTTAGTTCTTCTTCCTCACTGGCAAAAAAAAAAGAAATTCACATTCATATAGATGGAATGATTTTCAATAGCGTGTTAACGTTCTGTTTTAGGATGTTCTCACAAACGTGGGCGACATCACACAGGGTGCTTTCAGAAAGATTCTGGTGGAAGCAACCAGGAAGAAGTTCGGGAAAATAGACATTCTGGTGAGCATATGGAACTACTTTAGAAGGGTTGGACGGACATATGCATGCATACCTTCTGTACCATCAGAAAGAAAAACATTTCAGGTTCTTGTGAATAATCCGGAACCAGACACGTCCAGCTGAACTTATTGCTTGAAATTGATGCTGCTTTATCTTGTAATCGCGGCATGAGTCCATCCATTTCACAGTGGCTCGTAAACAGGGGTAGGATAAAAACATCCAGTGAGTAATGTTGTTAACATCGGTCCATGCAGCAGGGTTTCTATGTGACGCAAACACTAATCTGACCACTCTTTCAACTAAGTCATGTTTACATAAAGGAAATAACCATTAGGATTGATGTCTAAAAGAAAAATAAACATTTTTCATGCGTTTTTTCAAATGAAATTCCGATTGTGGAATTTATTTTGAGATGTAAGAATGTGTATTTTAATATCAACATTCAAATCGAGTATGGAAACATTTAATATCTCAGTTCCTGCTTGCTATTCTGACGGTATTGGAAAACTTACATATGCAAATAAGTCACACAGCTAGTCGCTATAGTAGATCATCTTTACCAATATGGCTTAATTACAGATCCATCTTGCACATGTGGTAACCCACACGAAGTGACTGATCATAAAAACATGTAAGAGCATGTCCCTGATCTTTTTTCCCTGTGTGAGTAAAATAATTAAAACACCGATTACACGGAGAATCCATTAAGTTCAACATGCCTTGGTTACCGTGTGTATATATTATGTTTATATGACCACGGACAAGCACAGATCTCGGATCCTGATCTAGATCTGTACCAATGTTGGAACCACTAGGCCAAACCATAGTTGTATGAGGCCACTCAAACATCGGATGTCCACTGGATAACTGGTGGATACCATGTCATAATTGTTGCTCAGTCATAAGATTATCGATATATGTACGGGTAGTCGTCACAATTCTGATTAAACCAGTCCATAAACATTTGTGTTATCACTTGTCCGTGTTTAGGTGAACAATGCTGGGATCGCAGGTGTAAGTCCGCTGCAATCAACAACCAAAGAGCTGTACGACAGAACCATGGCCATAAACGTGGAGACACCTGTGTTTTTGACACAGCTAGTTGCACCGTATTTGATTGAATCTAAAGGTACTTACAATCATGTACTTGTGTTTGTGAGTGAGTGTGGATAGTTTTACCATGAGTACGCTTTTTGTCCTGACATTATTTTAAAGCACAGAGATTTCTGAAGATACTAAATACAAAGCGCCTCAAGATTCAGGACAAAACAATGTTTAACAGGAGGATATACTGGGTGTTGCAGCAACAAATTGTTCCTCGTTTCAGACAAAGGATATGATTGTACGTCTTGATGCAGTGATCCAAACATATTGAGTACTTAACATACCTTATATTAACATTTTCCAATAAATAAGATGCCAAAATCTAAAACCTGATATTTTCCTGTTTTATTCAGTAGGATGTTATGTGTGTCATACGTTATAGGACTAAACAAATCTTTTTTTTGTTTTCAGGATGTGTGGTTAATGTTTCAAGTTGCACCACGACTACAATTGTGAGTGTGATGTTGACAAATACAAGATCCACAACCTGTAATACCAACCCCATTAAAACCCAGTCGATCTATTTAAGAATAGGCCACACATATCACACACCAAAGCAAAGGTAGTGTTGTGTGAGTAAAGGAAGAACAGGTTGTGGCAATTTAAGTTTCCTCTCTTTTGTTGTTGAGAGATTCAAAAGATAGCGAGGGAACGTTATTCACCTGCATGCCACCTTTGTGGTGTCTCTTTTGGGACGTCACATGGTTTGATGTTTGTGTCCACTGTGTACCCTGTTTCATCACCCCATGAATCTACATGGTAAAGTTATACCTTGTTGGGGAGGGTGATTTCAGGTGTTCAGTTATTGTCATCTTGAAAACTAAATAGAAAAATGTCTAAGATTCAATCTGATTTTCTCAGGTTTAAGAAATACATGAACAGCACATTTGGGGTCATTACATGCCCTTATCTTGATTGCCCCAAAACCAAACCTTATACTGCTTCATCGTTTTAGATATCTGTATGAACTGAGGTAAACGATCTGCATCTGTTACTTTCATCTGTCATGTAAAGACTATTTAACTTATCAACCTTTCCTCCCGTGCAGTCTCCGGGAGGGGCTATCTACGTCATGTCAAAGGCGGCCTTGGACACATTCACAAGATACCTTGCACATGGTAAAAATACAAAACGTTTCTGAAAATCATGTGTTGCCCACTCATGTACTGTGCAGACAGACCTTTATTGACCAAGCATCTGATCATCGTCGGTTGTAATCGAGCATTCGGATTTTGACTACGAAACATCACGCTGTACATATAACTACACCTAGTGAAAGGCTTCATCTCCATTATTTGTAATCTAGTTAAGGCACAGAAAACATATGTGGTGATATGGGCTTCGCATTTCACTTTGTATCCTTACTTCATCAATTAAACTTGAAAAGATTCTCTCCATAGACAGGAGTGATGGGTAGTTAAAAGGTCATACGATAGGGGGAAACTATCTGATATCTTATTTCTTTTTACATTGTGAAGTAACTGAACATCTGGAATATGAAAATACAATGTAGCTTTAAACTAAAGCAGTCACTCGATATGTAATAACGTATGGCACAAACAATTCTTGACAAACACGTCTCAAACACATAAGATGAACAGATTTAGGATGAATATGAAGCACGATATTTTATCAAACAGGAACTCCAAGCTAGACTTGGTTCAAAAGGAGCTATACCTGTCACAGAAGGCAACTGGTTAATAAAATATTACTAAGCAGCTTTATCAGCAAGCAAATGAACAGCTTAATTTCTTTCTACAGAAATGGTTTCACACGGAGTACGCGTGAATGCAGTTAAGTAAGTACACAAAGAAAGGTAATACTTATATAGAAAGTACTGTTAACTTGTTTAGTCCGTGCATGCTCGGTGTGTGCATGCTGTTGAGGAGATTGATATTAATCTTAGATGTAGACGTTATCACTTTGATTTATTAAAGTTCCGTTTAGTTTATTATCTATACAATGATTAGACTAATGTTTACCATGTCTTCTTTCACATATATTTTCATTTGTTATGAGTATAGCAATTTATTCAGGGCAATCAATACTGTCGACTATGTAACCAGAAACCTCAGAAGTCTTAAAACTTTAGAGTATCGATCACTCCATACATGCACGCGTGCAGCACACGAAGCAGGAAGTTGGAACTGGCAAACAGGAATGAAGTAGTTTTATAACAAAACCAGTAAATCAGCACACCATGTGGCCTTTTGGTTACACGAAGGTAAACACTATCCCTGTGACTGATACATTCATTATTACAGTTTGTGATTGTATTCACTGTCAGATGTGTTGTCTTTCGCTATTGTTGTATTTGGCACGATTGTTCTATTCGCGGTGTTGTTTTTAATGTTTCAGTCCTGGTTACATACCCACTCAGTTATTGTCTCGCAACTTATCGAAAGAAGATTTGGCCATGGTAATTATATTTGTGCTACCACATCTGGAGGGGAAACCGAGAACCAATAACATGAGCAACTTTGATGTACAATTGTCATGTATTGAGAACGAACCTGGTCATCGCGTCATACCCAGTTGCCATTCATGCATAGCCAACATATCATTTAATCCAGAATTCTCGTAATGGTTTATTGTTGTTTAACGTCACAGTCAGCAATAGTCCAACTATATGACTGCGGTCTCTAAATAATCAAGTCTGGACCAGACAATCCAGTGATCAACATCATGAGCATCGATCTAGTCGCCACGACATGCATGTGATTCTCGTAATGAATGTAAATGAGTTTGGTGTTCGAAAACAGCCAGCCCAACAGGATACATTAGTGACCTTGTTTCATTCGCTCACACTGTTCCAGATGGAGAGTGCCGTGACTAAAGCAACGCCAGTTGGTCGGTTGGGTACCGTAGAAGAAATTGGCCACATTGTTGCCTTCCTAGCTTCAGAGAAAGCAGCCTTTGTGACCGGAGAATGTTTCAGGGCCGATGGTGGGTTGACAATGACCACACCAGCCCAAGTATAAAGAAGAGGGTCGCAAGGCGCCCAAATGCCTCCATCAATTGCAGACTGTGTAACGAGCATGTAGTGTGTACCAAATAGACTATACAAGTACGTATGTTTCATCAGTAGCGACCCCTGTTTTTGAGAACATCCTGAAATAGAAAGCTGATCAACCTGATAAATCATTACTTCAACATTCCCTTTGATTTGGCAGTTAGGAAGGATAGTTAATGGCTGTTTTAGGCACTAATTTTGTGACATGACTGGGAACTGTGACTGACTGATCATTGACTTAAGGGATTCTCCATTCTATCTTAAAGTTTAAAACTTGTTATTCCATAAAAACCCGGGTAACAAATCTCCCGATGACAGTTTCAGGGAGTCTTGTCATCTGGTCTTGCAGTTCCTGGCTTATTTCGGCTAACCTAACGGATGACTTTTGACACTGGCGTGGCGATCATGTTCCGCGCGCGAGGATAGGTTAGTCTTGAGGATAAGAAAACCTGCAACTGGTGTGATCAATCTAAGGACAGTTCTACTGTACGGCTTGGCTATCCTTCAGTGTTATTGCTAGGTCATATGTCCACTGTTTGGGGGTTCCCAAGATAGAAGGTCCCAAGCTGGCTTTACATATTAAAGTATAACATAGAAATAAAACACGTTTTTTGCTCCTTTGTTGTTTAACGCCGCACTCGGCAATATTAAAGCTATATGGTGAACGTCTGTTAAAAATCGAACAATCTAGTGATCAATAACATGAGCATTATCATACGCAGCTTTCATATGAAAACGTCCGTCGACCAAGTCAGCGAGTATGACCGCCCGATCCCGTTAATCGCCTGTTGCTGGAGACCAAATCTCCAGAACAAAATCCTTGGATCCACAGTGTTACTTGTTTCATGCGTTAAAGGGCTGTTTTCTCCATAAAACAAACCTTTATTCAGTGCTGTAAAGTCGCGAACACCTTTTGTCATCACAGATTTTCACTGGTTCTTTTATATATACTAGGCATCAAAGAAACGCAGAAACGGATAACTGTAAACGCATTTAAAGTTTTGATTGTATATTTTTGACAACATATCCAGCTTTACCTGAGAAAAGACATTCCTTCCCAAACCCAGAATGGAACTCATGAAATGGTCTCAACTACGCAATCTGATCTCGGAGATGGTACGGTGTTCTCCATTATTTTCATGCAACTCATGCTGCACGTGCTGTTCACAAGGACCAGCCCTAGAAAATGCACCCCCAAACCTGGTTGAAACATTCACATTACAACGTCACCAGGATGCCGCGACTCACGACAGCTCAGAGGAACCAGGCGCTAGGAAGACTTAAAGCTGGCCAAACTGCACAAGCCGTTGCCATTTACTTCCAGGTCAACGTTTGGACAGGCTGCGGCAACGTTTCCGGGCCACCAACACCACAAATGATCGCCCCCGTACTGACAGACCAAGGGTGACCACAAGACGACAAGACCGCCATGTTGTGCGACAGCATGTACAGAATCCCTTCATGCAGGCATCCGAAACAGCACGGAAGACCAATCAGTACTGATACAGTACGCCGACGTCTTAACAGCGGGAACCTCCATTGCCGTAGACATTACCGTGGATCTACCGGCGTGAACGTCTACAGTTTTCCCTACAGCACCAAAACTGGTGATACAGGCAATGGATAACTGTTCTGTTCACAGATTAGAGTCGGTACTGCGTATCAACTGCAGATGGCAGAACAAACATATGGCGACGACGTGGCCAGCGTTACTCAGACCAATGTGTTATGGAAACACACTCATGGGGAGGTGCAAGCATCATGGCATGGGGTGGAATAGGCCTAGAGAGTGGGTCCAGTGGTGTTCCAGAACCTTGGTCCAGGGAGAGGAGGCGGCATCACAACGGTGCGCTACATCGACCAAGCTCTAAGACCCCACGTCATACCACATTTCGCACGTCACCGGAACAACATTTTCCAGCATGATAACGCCCGGGCCCATACTGCCAGAGCTACACGTGACTTCCTACAGCAAAAAGGTGTCAACTTTATGCAGTGGCCAGCCCTTAGTCCTGATTTCAACCCAATTGAACATCTTTGGGATGAAATTCAGAGGAGACTGAATAATATCATACCAAGGCCGAACACAGCCGATTTATTGCGCCAATGGCCTTCATCAATCGATTGGTGCACTCCATGCATGGACGCTGTGCTGCAGTTTTTGCCGCTCGTGGTGGTCACACCAGATACTAAAGTCAAGGGTCCGAATGGACTGCAAACGTTCACGTAATGTCTTGAAATTGTGCTGAGTTATATATTGATGTGTCAAAATATTGTACACAAAAAATGTTTTTGATCCGCTTATTTTGTCCATTTCTGTAATGATTTGATTACAGTGCCTATCTAATTTTGTATTCGCACTGACGTTTTCTTTGCTGCTGAGTATACTTTAGGCGGCTATTTTGACCTTTATACCAAATGTAATCTGAGGATTGTCAAGACTTGACATTCTCTTCCACGTTCCTTTTCTAGTTACGTGTTGCAAATCAGAGTTTGTATTGTTAATGTAAAGTCAATGATAGACATTAGTATTTGATCTATTGAATGGCTATTTGCTCGGGATGTTGGTCATCTTTGTCATTGTCCTTTATTTTTATTTATTTTATGGGGCTAGGGGTGTTAGGGTTTTGGGGTTTTCTTTAGGGAAGGGATCGGACTTTGATTTCGACCGTGCACTTGCGAGGATACTTTTGATGTTGCTGGGGCATTGGGGTAGTCAGTGGTTCAAGTGTTCGCTTGTCATGCCGAAGACCCAGGTTCGATTCCCCAAATGGGCAAAATATGTGAAGCCCATTTTAGGTGTCTCCCGTAGGATATTGCTGGAACATTGCTAAAAGATGCGTAAAATAGAACTCACTCACTCACACTGATGTTTTTTGTGAGGATTGTGCTTATGTTGATAGTGGGGTTGTTGTTGAAGCTGTGGTTGTTTATCGTTCATATATAATCTTCTCTCCCCATGGAATCAAGGACTGGCAAGACATCCTGCAATATTTACTGTTAAGAAGAGAATGTCATTGAGTTCAATCACAATTCGTGTTTAGTTAATCACATTCTTCGATGATATTGAAGTCTGTTTTTTTCTAAATGTTCAAAATAACAGTCGATCATTTGAATACTTGACAGTTCACAAATATATTCACATAAATAAATGAGTATGAATCTCTTCCAGACAGATTTCATGTCAATGCATATAACAACGGTGGTAGATCCGATGACTATTACAGGTCACGGGTTCGGGTGTTAAAATGGAGGTCGAGAAAATATGTCTTTGTTCAGACGGGGATAGCCTTCACTCTGTCACTCTGTTACCATGTAAAACTTAATCTCCAAACTCTAAGTGTGTAATATTGCCTGTTAATTGCTGAAGTGTAACACGATAAACATGTCACACAACACACATAGTCATATCGTCCAGAGCACACTTCAACAGCTGTTAAACGCGTCCGTATATTATCTTTGACAAGAATTGATAAACTCGTCATCAGAAAGATTATTAAGACAATATATATCCAGTATCTGTGAACAGTTCAGCAATAACTGGAGAGGAAATCTTTAATATTTGATATTTATACTTCAAATCTACACATATCCGTAAAGCACTTGGTGATTGGTGTGTGCTCTCTATCCATAGATAATTCAGGGGTTTATAGACAAGAAGTCGTCCTTTTGAGATTTCACTATGAACACGAAGTCGACCAGCAGTTAACTTTGATGTTGAAGGTGTTGCTTGAGTCACGCTAATCCATAAATAGGTGTTGTTTTAAGATCTTCGATAACGTGGGCATCTGGTAAGGCATGAACATAGTTCACTCACGTACTTCACTCAAAATGTCATCAATGTCATCATATGAGAGTGAATTTTACGATGATGAACATATTTCATTCAATTTGGAACTATAAGGGAAGATCTCGCGGTAGCTTGCATTCAATTTCGAAATGGCAAACGCACAGTTCAATCAGTGGAAGTGCACGGAAAAGAAATTCAACTCCACTGCGTCCACTGTCATGACATTGTGACGATGGTGAAATGTGATCATACTCTGTCCAAGTAGACATAAAGGTAAGCGGTGCCTAATATCAATACGTTACTATGAAATATAAAGATAAATATTAGGTCCGAATAATGCACATGACAATGTTTTGCATATCATTTAATATATTTTGTTAGCTATTCTAAGCAAATTATATATAGCCATAGTAAAAGAAAGTGTAAAATGAAATAATAAATCAGGTTTGATTATCATTCAGATGAACCAGAGATTATCAGATGCTGCATCTTCCCAACTTCATGTTGGATGATTTTGTATCCGAAATATAATGGACGAAATATAATTATTTTCTCCTGTTGTCTGTGCTCTCAACCGAATAATCCGGATTATCCTTGTGAAAACACTGGATTATTTCTTTGTCCTTTGAAATCTCATGTTAATTGGTGTAAGTCAAATGAACAGGACGTCGACCTTTTTCTTAATTGAACCGTGACATTTCACTCAAGGGTCGACGTCCTGTGCAGACACTAATTCAGGGCGTTGGTGCTGAATCAGGTTTTGGTGTCAAGGCTACACAGATACAACTGAAGAGTGTAGTGACTCCTATTGTTCACTAGTACACACAAGAATGCACATAGCTGTATAGGATTTCGCCGGGTAATGCCCTGGAGATAATATTAAAACAACCCATAGTCGTGAAATAATGTGAAAATGTAATTCGAGGAAACAGGTTTGCTGTGTCAGTCAATTCCTGTTGCCATGACACTGGGGTAAAGATGCGCTATCATGGAGGAAATTTTCTATGGTGTAAGTTGTGTTAGGATCTACAGTGTGTGAGTGTATGTGTGGGTGTGTGTGTGTGTGTGTGTGTGTATCCCCGGAGAGACTGGTCTGTAAGACACGAGTAGGGACGAATACAGTTCACCAGCAACAGATGATTTCAATCACTGGACTGTCTGGCCCTGACGCGATTATAAACAGACTATCATCATCTACCTGGAATATTGCTGAGTGTCGCGTTAAACAATAAACAACCAAATTGAAATACAGTACTGAACAAGAGTTCTCAATCTGAATATCCACCTTACGCTTTGCAGATCTGATTTCAATTATGCTGTGATTTGTTCTAAGATGCTAAAAGATCAAAA